ATTCGATATTATGTAGCTCCTTAGCTCGTTTCTCTTGATTTACTAAAGACTGAATCTCCCTCTCCAACTTCTCATTCTCCAGTTCCAATCTTCTCAACTCCAGTTCTCTTTTCCTTCGAAGGAATGCTGTACTTTCATCGATGGCACAATCGGTAGTGCTGAAAATCTTCGGAATACTTGGAGTCAACTAAGGCACAAAATCAAATGCATAGCTTTTTATACTAATTGCTAGCACTATTTTCGAAGACATACTTCAAGTTCAATTCTGCAGTTCTCGCACGTTTCGCCGGTACGTAGGGTATCGGACTCGATTCTGGAGGAGATATTGACACTTGTACTGCACCGTCGACAAGAATCTTTTTTGTTTGCTCGCATTCGTGTGGCAAGGAGCTGAACGTCTTAATCATAGAAACGAACTGACAGCTGAATATTAATTGCAACAGATGATAGAAATCTACAGAAAATTTTTTTAGCGTATTCAGCAATTTGTGTATAACTGCAAATCCAATCGTAAAATATAGCCATCTTGACTCACATGTGTTTCACTCTTTCATACCCTAGTTGACTAAATAGAAAAAAATTTTAAGTTCAAAAGATCAAGAAGACGACAAGTGAGCTACCATAGAGTAAACTCTTCGCGAGTCACGTCGTAGGTGATATTGTTAAACTACTACACAAACACGGCACCAAAAAAAGCTGTATTAACTGATAAGCACAACGAGAGAATCGCAAAACTGACCAAATGCACTATTAAACGTATGACTTTTACAACATCAAAACGTTTTTTAAAGCAACATGAGGCTAAACAACAACTTCAGGAGAAAAAAAAAACGGAGAAAAAACACCCAACATACCTCTCCGTCGACTCGCCGGAAGAAGATAATACAGCACACGTTTCAACTATCTTGTTTTTTGGTGTGATGTTAAAACAGCTGGTGGGAGAAGATTCTGACTTGAACGAGGCAGTTGTGATTGATGATGATGCGGGTAAAGCCACCAGCTGAGAGAGCGGAGACGTCACCACGCAAACAGCTGGCGCATCAGAGCTTGTTGAGGGTGGAGGCTCGATTTTGACCTCGGGATGCTGAAAACTCCTCTAATCATAATCTAATATTGAAACAATTAGAAAATTATGTTGACCATACTGAAATAAAGGTCGAAAGATCGGAAAAAGAAAAAAACGATAATTCTAAGAACTACTAATCTTCAGAAAACTCTTACCTGAGCACGAGAATTCACTTCCACTATCTCAGCATCCTCAGTTATCATATCAAAAAGCAT